AACGCGAACAAGTTCTTAAAGTTATTAAATTAAGTTATTATCCTTCAGATACCTAAAACCTTGCTATACGTGTTGAAATCTATTTTTCAGTCAGTAGACTTCGTAATCGACTCGTATAACAGCATGAAATGTATTAATTGCTTGCCGGATAGGCTTTATTGAAATATAATAGTCATACTATTATTGAATTTTACTATAATATCATTATGTGATAGAATACTAACTAAAAGGCTGACGTTGTCGTAATGGATGAGAGGGTCAGTTCTAATGTGATCAGTTTGGTCAAAAATAGTTGAGGTATGCATGTTGACAATAGGTAAAGTTATTATATCATAATATATTTCCAAAATATTTAATTAATATTTTTCGATGAATATTGGTAGAAGACTACTCTAATACTAGTATGTATACAAGCATATATGATATCCAGGATAAGCAAGTGCGCAGAAAAATTCATTTTTTTTCTTATAACTTAGACGCAAATATTATACATTTATAGGGACGCAATTTACTAGCATATATTATATCAGCAACAAATAGGCAATAGTTGGGTTGCAAAATAGTGTACTTCTGATAATCAAATGGGCAGCCATAGTAATGTGTATTGCACTTCTAATTCTGAATGCAAAAAATATGTGACATAAATGCATATATATTAGGTTCTAGAAATATTCCTAGACTATTCTCATTACTAATCTGTAACTATGTGAGGATGTTTTAGCACTGAACAGTATTATGTAACCATAGCACAATAGGCGAAGTATAAATTCACTTAATTTCAGCTAACACTATTCCATAATTTCAGCCAGAACTTTGGATATAATAATTCAGTACCCAAGCTGGCATAAAACTGGTGAATTAATAGAACCTCTTTGGCTTTCTTGTCAGTTTTATGACAGTTCTATAACAATTTTCTACCAGTTCTACAATAGTTCTATAATACTACCACAGTACTACCAGGTCGTTACCTTAAATCCTTTAGATCATATGTCCCAAAGATCAGCCAAAATTATGGTATAATGTTAGCCAAAATTAATTACAAATTTACTGCGCCATCTGTCACTTTTTTTATACTACTTCAGCATCTAGACAGGCAACCAAATAGGCACGCATTCTATTCATATTTACTAACCAACAGGTCATAGAGAGAAAAACAGATCCTATCTTTAGGACATATAAATAAATAGATTATAATGTCTTAGTAATTAATAGATTACAATGTTCTAGTACACATTAATTAATAGATTATAATGTCCTAGGACATATTAGTTTGAAATAAGTAGTATTCTAAAATATACTAATATATTAATATATTAGTATGTCCTAGAATACTATTACTTTAATAATTATTTATCAATTATTAAAAATAATGTCAAAGCATTATTTTGTTTAGAACTTAAAAAGATACTTTAAATATTATAAATATAATAATATTATAATCAGTTTTTTAATATTACATACTTATTACAAATAGACAGATAATAAAAATAGTAAGTAAAAGTTAATTTTATAATTAAGATTAAGTAAAGTGTATATATATTGATTATTTATTAGATATGAAATAACAAATGAATATTATTTTATGTTAGCATTTTATATTATATATATTTTTTAATAAATCAAATTAAACTATTAAATAACTATTATGATCAATATATTTTGCTAGCTAAAAAATCTTAACTGTATTTATATAAAATATCATATATAGTTTGTTTAATAAAGTTAAATACATAAATTTAATAAAGTAAATATAATAAATAAATAATATAAAATAAAAAAATAAAATAAAAAAATAAATTAATTACGTAAATTAGGTAAATTAAGAAAATGATATAAATGACATTAATATTATTTGATGATCTATATTATTTAGATCATCTAAATAATTTTTATGTAATAATAAAAAAAAGGATAAAACTTGTTTATAAATTTGTCAAATATTATGATAACTATAATATTTCTCTATAATTCTAATTTTCTAATATTAAAGTTAATCAAATTTTGATTAAGAGATATATTATCATATTATCAAGACTATTAAATATTTTAAGAAGTTGATTAATAATCAATAGTATTTTAAAAGACTTTACATTAAAGATTACTAAATAATTTTCTTGAAAGCATATTTTTATGATCAAAAATAATATTCAAATTAATGTTATATTAGAATATATTATTAACTAATCAAATCAAAACTATTGATTCTAATCAGATCAATTAAATTCTTTGAACTGATATAGAATAATTTTTTATCTTAAGATATCAAAAATTTTAAAATTTAATGATTTGTATATTTATAGAAAAAATTTTTCTTAATAAAATCCAATGTAAATACAACAATATTTTAATGTTAAATTTACATTGTGTTTTGATAATTTTAATATTAAATTAATGTAAGTAATAATTTAATACTATGAATATTTGGTAGCTTTAAGAAACATGTAATACCTTTTTTTTGAAAAAATTCCAAAGATTTTTTTTAATGCTGTGCATGAAGTATTACTTTATTAATGTTTGAAATAAAACTTTTTTTTTAAAAAAAAACTTTCTATTATATGAAAGAGGCATTAGTTTTGGGATATTTTGCAGAATTTAGAAGAAAGTTTGAATATAATTCGATTTATTAAGAAGATTCGTAACTATAATAACAAAAGATTAATTACGCAAAATTAAATTCAATAAAAAATTTAAAATCCCGAAGGTATGTGAACAAACACATGCCTATTTTAAAGCGGTGGTAAAATTAACTATTGGCTGGTGTTAAATTTTTAAATGACACCAAATTTAGGACAAATATAAAAAATATAAATATTCTAAATTTTGGAATTCAAAAAGATTGAGGACCAGTTTCGAATTATATTAACCAATATAAGTAAGAATGGATTTTCCATTTTATTTGTATTTATTAATCTTTCATTTAATTTTCCTAAATAATTTGCATCATTTTATTTTGAAATTGTACTAATTAAAAATAATTTTTAATTAATGTACTCTATCAAACAACGACTTTTTGAGGATCATATGACGAAAATGGTTATAAAAAAGGAATTATTGGAATTTCGGATTATCGTTAATCCCAACATTTGAACATTGAAACAACGATTTTGGAATCCTGATGGAATGGATTTCATTTATACAAAAACCGTTTTTTTTAATGTCAATAAAGTTTCATGACAATACGAAAGTTTTATATACAAAATGTGATTTTGATCATCATAACAAATATGCAAAACAAAGTAAATGTTCCGATGTAATTATTATTTTTTTAAAGATTGTAATGTTTGAGTATTTTTTCTTTCAATTTACATTTTTTTTTTTCAGTGAAAGAGGGTGGTGGTTATACCTTTCTTTATTAGCAACCTTAATTGAATTAATGTAGATGTCTTTTAATTCATTCATATTTGTTACATATAAAGTCTATTTAATAAACAAAACTACGTAATAGAAAAGAAATATAATGTAGAAAAGGTTTACAAACGACGAAAAAAAAAATAATAACTTAAATTCTAAAATAATAGAGAAAAAATTTTTTTAAATAAATGAAGTCAATCGGCGAACATATTTACATCTTCGCATGGTAGATTATAAAATTAATAATAATAATAGTAAAATAATATTAAGATTTTTTTAAAAAAAAAACTTGGATTTCTTGGGTATGGTGTATGCAAATGTTTTAGTGATAAATAAATAAAAAGCTTATATATAAAGAAGTTACTCTGCGCAATTATGAATTAATTTTTCCAATAGGTCCATATTTTCTTCCATTTCCTTTATTAAACGAACAACATTTTGATAAATCGTTTTAAGTTCATCATCAATCATTTCATCTCCACAATTTATTTCATCAACCTCAGCCATTTGACCATCAAGTTTATGCATAACTCTTTCAAGTTCATCAAGACTTGCGAACATTCGTTCAACTAATAAGTTTGATCACGTATTTATGGTGAGCCGATGTTAGGAAAAATGTATAATCAAAAACCTTTTTATAATTACAGTACCTTCTCCTTCTAATATGGTCATGACGTTTTCGTTAAAGACGCATGCATTTAAATTTGATTGTAGGTAATATAATTTTTGTCTCATTTTACTGGGCACAAGGGATGTTGAGAAGAAATGATTTTCAACTATGTAAATTCCTTGTGGTTTGCCCATATTTAGAGAGAACTCGTTGGTGGAGGATTCAATTAAAAATGCCTAAAAATATAGTTTTTATAAATAAAGAAATATTACGTCAACTGCAAACCCGCATTGCCGAAACGTTCTTTCAATTTGATTACCATAAGGTCTATTGGATGATGTATATAATGGTCAAAATTTTTTTATTTTTTTCTTGAAATTAATTAAAGGTTGGCGATGACAATAAGTAATGCAAAAAAAAAAAAAAAAAAAAAAAAGGTCTATTTATTTATTTATTAATGTTTGAATGAATTTTCTGTCCAAATATAACTTCAACAAAGAAACACAATATATTTCGCGGTCTGTGTGTTACTGGTTTTTTATGATTTAAGTTTCAATTCACGTGTTACGTAGCACGTATCGGGTGAAAAAAAAACGGAGTTTCCCATACATATCATGATTGGTCGCGTGCGAATTTTTTTTTTTTATAATATAGATATATAATATATTGTAACAGTTTCTATCAAAAACGCATGATTTAAAAAAATGCATTATTGTGTAAATGAACCATTCAAACCGAATAAATTAAAAAAATTGCTTATCTTTAATTATACCTAAAGCAATAGAATGATAAAAAGATAAGCTTTAGAGGCTAAATATAAAAGATAAAAATGATTGCTGATATTTGTGATAACGGAACAGATTTTTGATAATCGAATGCAAAAAAGAAAGAATTTGCGCCATCAACGCCGACTAACAAATGTAAATTTTTCCACGGCCAATGTTTGGGGATTACAAAAAAAAAAATACTACTTTCCTTATCGATTATAACTCGCAGATTTGTGTAGTGTTACCTACCGTGTTACAATGATAGCTGATTGTACAAAATGAACTGATATCTATCTGTTATTTTGAAGCGTAACACGAAAATAAGGAGCCTATTAAAAAAGGATTTATGACGCGACAAATTCACTAGACATAAAAACCAAAAATTTTGTTATCTACATATATAATTTTATTTTTTTATTTGGTTATTCGTGAGACGTTATAAAAGCTGTTAATCAAACAAAGTAGACTTTTTCGGAATAAGATTTAAAATTCACATGCTAATTATATTACAACGTATAAATAAAGTACGCTTAGTTCAATTTTTTATTTTCCGAAAAAAAAGTTTAGTAAATATAGTAATCAATTTATCTTAATATTGCTAATATCCCCAAAATCCTCAATTCCTGTTTGTGTTATATAAAATTAGATTAAAAACAATATTGCCTTTTTATCTCTTTAAAAGATTCCTAAACCTAACTTTAACTAAATCATAAATACAGATTTACAATTTCAAGATTACTTTACCTATCCATTTAACTCGAAGATTTAGTAAACAATATTATGAAAATCTCATGTTTATTCAATAATATCAATAGTGATATTACCGACGGGTCAGATCGCCTGGTATTTGTCAATGAATCATCACCATTGTTAGAGATTAGTATTCTAATACTGGTTCAAAATATTATTTATAAAAAAAATTTTTAATATCGATGAAGCTATCATACTTTTTTTTATTCTCTAATTTTAAAATTCTAAATAATTATGCTTCATATAACAAGTAGTCAGACTGCTTTATAAAAAATTAAAATTACTTTAAAAAAATTTTTTAAATGAATTTTATAAATATACATATATATAATAGTAATTTTCGTAATTATATAATAAAAAAGTTGAGATTATTTAAAAACTAAATTTTGTAATTTTTATATTTTAAAATTTTTATTAAATTTATTTAACTATATTAATCATAATAAATTATAAAAATTGCAAATAAAGTTTTCTTTATAATATTATATTAAGAAACTTTATAAATTTTATTTGTAAAAAGGTGATTAAATTAATAAATATTTTATAAAAATTTTTAAAACTTTGATTTTAAAATTGATTTATTTTAATAAATTTAAATAAATTATACTTTATTAAGAAATTTATTAAGTTCATATCTGCATTTACTACTCTATATCCTTTTTATGATTAAGTAGATATCATATGTTTATATTATTCTATGCTTTTTTAATATCAAGAAATTAATTATATATTAGTTTTCTTCTATGTCTTTTTCATAATTAAAACTAAAAATTAAAACTAATAATAAAATTTTAGAATATAACAAATGATTAGATCAATAAATTTAACTTTTATTCTAACCTAAAGTTTTTGAGTTGCATTTATAAGTATATTATATTATTAATTTCATAAAATTATATAATGTAATAAATAGCTATATAATAGAAACTTACAAAAGCCTTTATAAAAATTTATTAAACCTATATAAGATCAGTAATAAAATCTATTAAAATTCAGCTTTTATAAACTATAAGTATTTGATAATTTAAAATTCAATAATTTAATATCAAAATATTTGACAAATAAGGTATTAAGCAATATTTTTTTGATAACTAGTAATATTAATAAGATCACTATATTTATACAACTTTTTTAGAAAGTTTTTTGAATTTTTTTTATAATATACAAATGTATTTTTAATGAAAAAACTTTCATAATTGATAATAAAATTAAAGTAAACTTTATAAAATATATATATTTGTGATTTTAGAAATAGTATTATTTATTAACTATAGAGTAAGCAAATTTGCTTATAAAGTTAAAAAATGTATTTATTTCTTTATAAAATATTAAATATTAATTTTAGTAATATTATTATTATATAAAAAATAAAAAATATAGTTTAACTTATATTTTATTAACTTTATTAACAAAGATTTTAAGTTTTTTAAAAGGTTTAAAATAATCTAATTTTAAAATTAAGTTTTAAATAATTTCTTATAATTTTTTAAAAATTCTTTAAAATTTATATATTTGCACACTAATTGAATCACTTTATTATTAAATAAAGTCATAAAATTCCTTAATAAATTTTAGCTTCTAAGTAACATTAAATTTTTAATATATAATTAAAAAATAAAACTTATTATAATATATTATATATTATAAAATTAATTTAAAAATTTTTTTTTTTAAATTATTAATTATTTATAAAAGTAAATTAGAAGAGAATTTATGAATTTATAGTAAATAAGCAGATAAATTTTCCTGTAAAATCTTATGATTTAAGGGATAATATATTTTATTAGTAATTATCACAATAGAATATAATTAAATAGTATAATAATTTCAATAAAATTTGAATAATTATATAAGCAGATTAGGCGAATTAACCAAATATTATATTCAAAATAATGTGATAAATGTTTTTTGAAAATATGATTATCTTAAATTTAATTATAATTAAATAGCTTAACATTTATAATATATTATAAATATAAACCTCAATCTTATCAATATATGCTGAAAAATATTTTTATAACTAACAAAATCTGTTTAACTTTTTTATTTATTATAATAATTTTCTAATAATTCTAATACAATTTATACAAAAAATAAACTTTCTGTATATTTAAAGTTTATAGCTAAATTTCATTTAACTAAATATGAAATACTAAAACTCAAACATAATATTAAAACTGTTGAAATGCTAAAATTTTAAAACTGTTAAAATTGCTAAAGCTGCTAAAACTACTAAAAGTTTATTATTTATAATTTTAATATAACAAATACTAAGATTTTATTAAAATTTAGATATAATTTCAATATGTTTAAGTCTCAGATTACTATAAAAAAAAATATATATTTTTTAATTAAAATTAAATATATATATAACACTCTATTTATCTCTATTATATAAGTCCAATTTGTTTAAAAAATACCATTCTATAAAAAAAAAAGTTAGAACTAAAGATGGTTTTCATAATTATTTTTAAAATTTTTAACTAATTGCAACTTAAGTTGCAACACTTTGAGTTGCAACTATTTATAAATTTTTATATTAAAATAAATTTACAAGGAGTTGTAACCAAGTTGCAACTCAAGTTGCAACATACCGAGTTGCAACTTCTTAATTATGATGCCTATCTTTAGTTAGAACCATTTTTCAAATAAGTATACTGTTATCTAACTAATGATTAAGCGGACTGAAACATGTCATCAATTGAGTAGCAGTAAGATTTAGCTTAATCTTTATTAAGTTTTGAAAGAGACTTTGGTTAATTCAGACTATTGTTGACTTCGGTATTCTTTCATGATTAAGTTTAGAATTGGCAAGTATGATGACTTCCAATTCATCACGTAAGACAAGTAATTTCCTCTAATGTAAGAAATTTTCAGTTGATGTTACAAAGTTTATTTGTAACCAAGTTGATAGCACAAATAAGTTGATAATGTTTAAGTAATTTAAAGATTACTAACTAAGGTTGACACAAAGCAAGGTGATAACATTAAGTAATCCAATATTACTTTACCAAGGTTAACACAAAGCAAGTTGATAACATTAAATAATCTAATATTACTTAAGCAAGGTTAACACAAAGCAAAGTAATAATGTTAAGTAATCCAATATTACTTAACCAAGGTTAACATAAAGCAAGTTGATAAAATTAAGTAATCTAATATTACTTAACCAAGGTTGACACAAAGCAGGTTTGACATAAAGCAATTTATTTGTTACAAGATAATTTAGTAAAGAGTTTTTATTATCTTATAAAATTAACTTCTTAAATTTCTATTGATACATGATGAAAAACTCAGCTTATTTATAATAAAATTTCTACACTAAATTGCTATCTATTACATAAAAACTATGTAATAATTCTCTCATCTTTTCTATGTAACGTTATTATAATAATTGAGTAATAACTACTTAATCGCTATGCAATAGTCCTTTAACTATGATATATATATATATGAAGAGATGTAAAGAATATAATTATATTGTTCTTAAACTATTACTACATCCTTATACTTAGCCTTTGACTAGTTTCTCCTTGAAGTTTCTATTTGGAGTTTCTAGTTTAGAAGGTTACGTGTGTCATTATGGGCTAATGATCTATTACTTCATTTCTTTATTAACCGATTTGGTTATTTTTGCAGATCACCTTTGCTGACTATTGTCTTGCAGATCAATTCACATGATGATTATTTGCAGATCACTTTACTGCGTCACATTTCCAATTTCTTGAAGATCATTTGGGTTACAGTACCTTTCAACTTATCAAGTATGAACCCTTAAATCAAACAACCTTCAAAGAATCATATTGTCATAAATAAAAATATCAACTTCTTTTGAAGCTTTTTCCCTTAATTGAAAGTCTCAAAATTTCAAGACCTGATTTATATGACAATAGCTGAACCTGTTGTAAATGTTTTATCAAAAAAAAACATTCAATCACATATGGCTTTGTTTAAGGAATCACCGTTTACTCAATCAAATAGTACTCAGCACTTTTGTTAAACTCAAAGAACAACTTTTTATTCAAATATCTAAAACTGAATAGTCTAACAAATTAACTGCTTTAATGAATCAAACTTTTGATTACTGGATTCTGACCATTAACTCTCCTAAAAAGTTTAACATAGTAGACATAATCAAAGAAATCGTTCTCAGCCATTTATTCTTCTGCATCAACAACTTCACAAATTGTAACAAAAACCATGACCATCTTATCCGTTTTTTTTTAAACACATATAAACTCAAGCAATTACATTAATTTGAATTCCTAGATGTGACTTGACTATTACCACAGAACTGACTTGGAATAATAAAAAAGAAAAAACTTTATACCAAAGCTCTTAAAAACGGTAACCCTATATCTTTATCTCTTTTTCCCTATTCATCTAATACATCCTCCGCAATTTCTAAATTTACTAAAATATTTTATAATTCTTACATTCATGGTTGATCTTGGCCTCTTTTTAAAGCAGTGAAAACTAGTTATCTATTTCTCTTTTTGATAGTCATGTAGTGACTTTTCTTCTTATAGTAGTTGTTTAGGAACATGACGGATAACCAGTTAGTTTGATCAGAATTGGTTAAACCCTTCAAAGAGGGCTAAGCAGCGTTTACTTTATTTTTTTACTTTGTACCTGTCTTGAAAATTTTCTTTTTTTAAATTGAATTTTGAATTTTAAATAAATAAATACTTCACTGCGTCTTAAAAAAAGAAGTAGTAAAATTGATTTGTATAATAGAAACCATTGATGTCATAATTTATTTAATTTATTTTATCTATTTATTATATTTTATCTATTTTATTCATTATATTATTTTTCTTTATTTTCTTAATTTAAATTATTATAACGTTATATAGGATAGTTTTTATATAAATAGGAGTAACTTAGAATTAAGTACAATAGATCATTTCAGTTTTGTTTTATATTAGTTTTAGTAGTTTTAAATCCTTTAATAAATAAACTGTTTAGTACAGACGCGTTGACAGAGGCAGTACTATAATTTGTTTGTTAATCATTTATTCTATACGTATTATCATATTTTCTTTACACTTATAAAATTATAATTAAGTTCTTTATCTTCTTTACGAAGGAAACCTTCTTTACACGTAATCATAACGC